AGACATGAAAATCTTAAAATGTAAAATATCAGATATTCTGTATTACTTTTCACAACCCAGAAACTATTCTTATAAAGAATGTCTTCCATCAGGATTATGTTGTTTGCAAATTCTAATGTCCCCTCATCAGTCAATAACTTTACATTATCTTGTGTTATAATATCTATTCTTACCAAAAATATTGGCTGCCAGATCTTAATGCAATGTAGATATTGAATGAAGATCAGTAATAAGTTTATTAGTTGATTGAAAAAATATCTGCTGTTTTTCTCAATCTAAATTTCTCCTTTTGAGCAGTGTTTCTTATAATATTGGTATTTAGTAAGTGTGACCTAATCCGATTCTAAACTATATTAGTGAGGATTGAACTATTTAACTGTTTGTAGATATTTACTAAGCATAGCTCTTTCTTGGCACAAGACAACAATATGGCACCTAGTGATAGTTAAACTTAACTAGTTAACTTTAGTTAGTTTTAATAAGGACAGATATTAGAACTTGCAGGTTCATATAAATATATCCTGAAAATTTTATCAAACTTGTTTAATATCATGAAAACTTATTGAAAGAAAATAGTTTTTAAGTTGCATATTGATTTGACCAATTGCTAAATATAAACCCAATTAAAAACATTTAAAGTTTTAAAGGAGTTTTGGGGTGGGGTGCAGAACCTGAGAGATTTAAACAATTAAGTGTTAAAGGTGGTCATTTTAAATACCCCTTTATTAATATCAAAGTTGTAAGCAAATGTAATGAAATATAACAGACCATTTTTTTTTTCTTCAAGTGGATGTGTATTTGTATGTATCATGTATGGCTTAATACTATTATAAGCTATAATAATATATTATTTTAAAAATTATTTTATTGGATACCTTTATTTGAAATAGATACTCTCTTTTTATTTTAAACCATGTTTATTACATGTATTAATCTGGATGGCCTGTGTTTGACTTGCACTCAAGAAATTTTAATAAAGCAAATGTGCTATTTAAAATAAAGACAGTGTATATTTCAAATATAACTAAAAATAACATTTGAAGTAATAAAAAAACTTACATAAATTTCTTATTAATATATGTAAAAAGATATAATAATGTTATATAAAGAGATTATATATAATTCTGTTGATTTATAGGTTATTTTTTTCTTTGATTAACAATAGCCATTATTTTAATTCAATTTAATTTTAAAAATTACCTAAAATTTCCTAATTTGAGAAATATCACAATTGTGTTAATGTATGGTGAAAAAATAGATATATATTCTGATATAATGTCTTGTAAGCTGATTTTACAGAGTATTTAATTTGATCCACACTTGGTGCTACATACTTAGTGTTATTTAGTAAATAACTAATTTTATTTATAGATTATTTAAATTTATGTATAAGTAGAATCATATTATTTATATGTAAACATAGGAAAACATGATCAATAAATTCCTATATATCAGAGCAATGTTAAGCAATAAGACTTCATTGAACCAAAGTAATGTTTTTATAGATGGAAGTATCCCCACCTCCTACACATATACAATTTGGTTATAACTCTGATATACACCTTCCTGCACATGTATAATTCAGTTATCCTGACTCCTGCACATGTATAATCTGGTTATCCCCTCCACACCTTGCACATGTGTAATCTGGTTATCCCCTCCACACCTTGCACATGTGTAATCTGGTTATCCCTCCACACCTTGCACATGTGTAATCTGGTTATCCCCTCCACACCTTGCACATGTGTAATCTGGTTATCCCCTCCACACCTTGCACATGTGTAATCTGGTTATCCCCTCCACACCTTGCACATGTGTAATCTGGTTATCCCCTCCACACCTTGCACATGTGTAATCTGGTTATCCCCTCCACACCTTGCACATGTGTAATCTGGTTATCCCTCCACACCTTGCACATGTGTAATCTGGTTATCCCTCCACACCTTGCACATGTGTAATCTGGTTATCCCCTCCACACCTTGCACATGTGTAATCTGGTTATCCCCTCCACACCTTGCACATGTGTAATCTGGTTATCCCTCCACACCTTGCACATGTGTAATCTGGTTATCCCTCCACACCTTGCACATGTGTAATCTGGTTATCCCCTCCACACCTTGCACATGTGTAATCTGGTTATCCCCTCCACACCTTGCACATGTGTAATCTGGTTATCTTGCACATGTATAATTTGGTTACCCCTCCCCCGACACACACCTCCTGCACATGTATAATTCCATCAATAAAAAACATTACTTTAGTCCAATGAAGTCCTAGAAGATGAAATACATTATACAATATTTCCACTTTGTCATGTTAACATAGATAAATATTTTATCTAGTTTCTTAAATACATTTATAGCTTAGGTATCTTATATAAATATGCCAATTTTTAGTTAATTTTGTAGAATTTAACTTTCTTTCACTATATTTATTTTCATATTTAAAATCTCAAAAAATAGTAAGGATTTAACAAAATAATTTTTTTTTTTAGGTTTCTAATTTAAAGAAAATTATACCTAACAATTTCAGGTAGAGATAAAAAAAACAATGTTTTCTGATGATCATTTAAGGTGTGAAACTGACAATCACCATACAGGTTGATTTTTTTTTTTTTTTTTTTTTTTTTTTTTTTTTATGCAATATCTCTGATACTGAATATTATTCTCCCCATGAATGTTAGCAAATTGTAAACATTTATTTATAGATAACAAATCCTTAACAACACAAGAATTCTATCACATAAACTTAAAACAATGACTGCAAATACTAGAAACCTTAACCATAAAAAAGAAACAATCCATATTTATAACATTTCATTCAAATTGAGAACAAATATACTAATTATGTATATCTCATAACTAATATCAAGAAAGACAGCACTATAAACTGATGTTTGAAGACAGTACTTGAAAAAAATTGACTGGATGCTCAGTGACACATTAACATGTGACATGCAAAATCTAACAATGCACACACAATGGCTACATATAGACACTATCTTGGCAACATGGAAAATAAAACTCTTTGATAATAGCCAATAAAGCCCAAAGGGCTTGGAAGATATTTGACAGAGGCATAAAAATGGTCTGAATGGATATATATTGTTTTTCTTGAGGAATAGTGGGATCTTCTGTGCTTTCAAATACAGCAGATGGATTAACTCTTATAGTTCCTTTAGTAAAGATCTTAGTTATTAGGTATATGTGTATTAAAATTACCGTGTCCAAATGGGATTTTTTTTTTTTTTAAAAATACTTGGGACTGACTTTTATACTAGTTACTACCAGACTGCTATGATAGGTTACTGTAAGCATAAATTGTTATTACTCAGATGTCTTGCTCAGACATAACAAGTAATAAAGAAAAGTACATAAATCAGACTGGAATCTAAAAACTTATTAGTACATGTTTGAGTATACAGTATAGCTGATTTAGTGATTTTTTTTTTTTTTTTTTTTTTTTTTGAGGGGGGTTTCAGTTATAATAGTAGCCAAACCTAATATTTTTTTTTTCAAATATTTAAATTTAAAAGCTTAATATTTTCAGTGTCCCCTCCCTCAATTACATGTTGATTCTCACATCAACATAAACATCACATTAATCCAATGTAGTTTTCAAAGAATGAAACATATGCAATCTACTTAGCCATAGATTTTCACAAAATTATTTACATATATAAAAATATTTATATCTTTAACCCATATATATATATATATATATATATATATATATATATATATATATATATGGTTAATGGTAAGAGTTGAATCAGACCAGAAACAGTAGTATTAAAAAAGTGCACACAATACACATGTGAAAAAAATATAATAAAAGTAAAAATAACATGTAGAGCTTTTAACTTTAAAAATCTGAAGTCAGTTGAATCCAGTACCTTGGTTTCAACTGACCTGATTTTATATATATATATATATATATATATATATATATATATATATATATATATATATATATATATATATTATAAAAAGTGCTTAATATCAAAAATATTGTGTGTAAATATAAAAGTAAACACTGAGGTCACCACCAAGCAAAAAGTCTGTTTCAAATAATCTAAAGATTTTTTTTTATTCTACATTAACTATTTTATTTTAATAGCTTCAAGTATATAATTAGAAAACTATCATCTAAACTTTTAAAACCTGTTAAAAAAATTTTTTTCATGAAGCAATTCAGATTAAATTTTTTATTTTATTTATTTATTTGCATACTTTTGATTAAAGTTAAATTGAAATAGTTAAACTTACTTAAAACAAAAAGATGTAGTTGGAAGTTCTTTTACTGGTAGGATTCAATCTTTTTAGAAACAAGTTCTCTCATTTACATCCCAAATTTTTTATCTATGAAATTAAGAACCAGATTTTTTTTTGTGTGTGTAAACCAAGAAATAAGTAAATCAAATTCTTTGAATTTCTGTAATCTTAAACAGTTTGAGTGAACCCTTTAAATCCTATGACTGGGTTCTATCCATCCCCTAAAATGAACGCTAGAATCATTTTAATAACGCTTGAAAACACATTCTGCTTATAGCTTGTTTTACATTTTATTGTATATGACTGAATAACATTAGGAAAGTTCATTAATAATTTTCTAAAGTCAATGTAAATAATGTAAGTAATCATAATACCTTATATCAATGATATAGACGGATTTCTTTTAATCAACAAATGTCTACAATTCTATTTTATAGTCAGTAAACATAACAGCTTTGTTTCATAGATTTTATAGATTATTTCTACATGTAAAAATAATTAATATGGGATAAAATCCACACCTGCTCTCTAACACACACACACGCTTTATTTTATGGGTCATTTGAAGTTCTGTGACAACATTGTGTGCTGCACACTGTCCAAATGCAAAATCTCTCAAGGAAAAAAAAATTGTTTTATCTTCTGATTTATTTTTGTTTATTTTTAAAACTTTTTTTTTTCACAACTTCCGAATGTTACATTCTTTGTTCACTGCTTATCTTGTAGGCTGTCTGTAAAGGCTCGTTAGCAGGTTTTTCCTGCCAATCTGCTTTTGTGCCTGCACCTAAGCGAAAACCACACGATACCCTACAGTCTACTTTAAACCATCTGCAGTCATCTTGTATAAATTCCTCTTCACTAAAGAAAAAGAGAGAGTTGGTCAACTTGAGACAGGTTTGTTTGTATTACTGAATGTTATATGGTATTGGTTATATACAATATCAGGAGGAGCTGCTAGGAAAAGACAACCTACTCTTGACTATGAATAACATCAGCTTCATTACTCCTGCTTACTGTTTCATATTTTCTTAAATAGCTTAGTTCTCCTATATAATAACTAGGATATTTCAGTTGCTAAGTTTTTGAAAAATGAATTTAAAATACAAAAATATACAAATCTAAATCCTCACAGAAGTTACTTCACAAAAGAATGTATATCACCACATGAACATTTTCATGTTTGCTTTATAAGAGAAAGGGCTTCATCTATATGCTGTGTCACTTCAGGACAATGACAATGACGGCTCTCCACAATTTCCAGTTCGTTGGAGCTCTAAATAAATTTTTGTATTTTTGTTATCTCTCCTAAACCTTGTTCTCTCATCTATTTACTCATGCTCGCTAGGTAGGTTATGCATTGTTTTCCTCTTGTCTTCAATCTATCCTGTGAATATCAAATTTTCTAAGCCCTCTTTCCTCATGTGCCATAGAAATATTAAGTATCCTTTTGGTTTTCATTTTCCCTAAAACTTAGTCATTGCTCACATTTCTATGGTATTCTCAGTATCCTTCTGTAGAACTACATTTCTGTTATCTCAAGTCTCTCTTGCATCTGTGAGGAGTTTTTCCAGCATTTACTGCCATATAGGAAAACTGATATTGTATAAATTCAGTACTCTTTTCTTTGTTTCTAATGAAATTTCCCTTTTCTTAATACTTTACTTAATTTCTAGAAGGCATCTTTCACTATCCCGATGTGCCTTCAGATTTCAGTTTTGCTCTTTCCATCCTCTGTTAAGACACTTCCCAGATATTTAAATTGTATGGGTTTGATTCATAATTTGCATGTTGGCTGTTTCTTTTGCTGGCAACAATGCATTCTATTTTCTTGCAATTGACCTTTAGTCTTTTCTTCTTGCTTTCCTTCACTACCTTTTGTAGGAGTTCTTGTAGTTTCCTTTCTGGTTCTACTATCAACACTGTCATCTGTATATCTTATGTTAAGATTGTGGCCACCAATAATGAATCCTGGTAGGACTTCTAATATTTTCATAAATGCCTAACTGTATAGCTTTAATAAGTTTGGTAAGAAGGCACATGGATGGCATTTCTAATTATATCATTGAAGTGAGATTTTAATGTTCAGTTAGTAGATTTTAATTATAATACATTTTTTAATCATTTCACCCCCAAGCAAAGCAATAAGATGTCTAAGATGCAAGGGGTTACTGTGTGTGAAAGAATGAGAAAAAGAAAAACACTTTTATGGAGAAAGAACAATAAAAGAACAGGAGTTAAGAAAAGATAATTCTTGACATTGCATTTAAATTTTTGAAGATCAAACTTGACTGGAAAATAAGAATTCTGATTTCCACAAGCAAGAAATGCAAGAGAAGAAACAGCATAGAACTTAGTTACATTTCGCCATTTCAACTGTAAAATGATGAGACATTGCCATCAGTCTAGTACTGTGCTTAAATTTATAAACTCAAAGAAGAAAGCTCATCGAAACAATTACCTTGAAAATATTGATAGTAAAGTTACAGAGAAGCTACATTATGGTGGTGGGAAAGTGACTGGAGCCAAGATGTTCAGTCAGGACCAATCAGATACTTTTTTGTATTTTATCAATTTTTAAAAATATATGATAGAAGCACAGGACCAGATGTAGCTACAATATTCAATGTTAACTTAAATTTTTTTTTTTTATATGTCTCACACTTCTCGTCTGTAGAACTCCCTCCCCATTTCTTGTTTCCCTGATAGCTATAATCTCCAACTATTCAAATGTAATGTCAATTAATGTTTCCAGATGCCATGATCTATCCCCTATCCTTCTCTTCATCTTTTCCTCTATCACTCCTCTTTGCTCTTGCTCCAACTATCTGTAATCCCTTGCATGTTAGTGGCTTCCCACCTTGCTTGGTGGGGAATGCTTAAAAAAAAAATTCTTTTTGTGTTGATCTAGCTAGAAAAAAATTAAAGGCATTAAAGATAGCTATTTGTATGCTGTATTTTCTTATATAAACTTTGAAACAAATTTTTTGTTTATCATAAACTTTCTCTTTTGAATCTAAATAATTATATAAAATATTTTGAGAGAAATACAAAACTAATATTAAAGCTGTTGAAAGTAGTTTTAACTACTCCATTTCATATTGTAGATAAGCACAATGCCCCATCTTCTGAAAGAGGAAATTACTTCATTGTAAGGTGGAGTTGATTAAGTGAAGTTATGGCATTGTGTCAAGAGTAAATGGTATTTCTTCATTGTGTGCTGCTTCCCTGTAAATTGAATTACAAGAAGCAAATCTAGCTGATTGAAATATTTTTTAAGTACATTTAATTATATAATCATGAAGCATTATTTAAAACAGTTTCATAGACAAACATATATGCTTCATATATAAGAACATGAAAAATTTGATAATTCATGATTATCCTCAATGATGTACTAAGTGTCATGTTACTTTTTCATTGATTGTGGCTGCCAATGTGGAAGATCAATCTTAATATTAGATATGCAGATAACAGTATTAATAGCAGACACAGAAAAGAAACTACAGGCACTCTCAAAAAATGTAGTAAAGTAAGAAAAAAAAAGACTAAGCATCACTTATAAGAAGAAAATGTATGGTTGTCAGCAAAAGGAAACAGTTCCAACATGGAGATACCAAAATTACAAAAAATTTAAATATCTATAAAGTCTTTTAAGAGGTGATGGAAAACATATCACCAAAATTTTAAGGCACATTGGGATAGATAGCAGAAATTGCCTTCCAAAAGTTCAAACTATTAAAAAATCAAGAAAATTTAATTTGAAACAGAAAAAAAAAGTACTGAACTGTTATCTAATATCAGTCCTCCTCTATGGTGGTGTGAATGCTGAACTATCTCACAGATGATGAAGAGACATGAAACAACAGAAATGTGGTTCAACAGCAGGATGCTGGGAATACCATGGACTGGACACGTGAACAACAGTGAAATTCTAGAGAAAATGGGAAAATACTTAGTTGAAATTTCTATGGCATATGAAGAAAGAGAGCTAAGAAAATTTGATATTCACAGGACAAATTGAAGGTAAGAGAAACAAAACAACACATAACCCACCTAGTATGCTTGTGTTAATGGATGGTGAAACAGATTAGGAGAGATAACAAAAAGACAAACTTTACTAAGGGCTACAAAGGACTGGAAGTTGTGGAGAGCCATGGTTGCCTATATTCTAAATGGACACATAGAAAAGAATATAGAAAAGGCTTATGTGGATTATGGATTTTGTCTATTTCCTTTAAAATCAGCATTTGAAATGAGTTACTTGTATTTGAAAACTAACCACTGTTACCAGTAGGAAACCTATAACTATCTCAACCACCAAGTAGGCATATATATATAGGATAATGTTATCAAACCCTTCTATAAGTAATATTACATGCTGGGAAAATTGTCATTTAATAAGTTAAATTGGTAAAGTATTAGTTATTATACGCTGGTAATTATTAGGTCATTAATCTTACACAAAATCTATTTCAGATTCCAAAATGTCTTATATTTTATAAGCATCTTCTTTTTGTTTCTTGTGGGTTATAAAGATGCTTGGTAAAATTCATAGATTTTGTAACTTCCTGTTTTATATTTGATATTTTTTTTTTTATTTGTAATACAAACCTTATATAAACATGTTTCCATTAATCTATCCATTTATTTTTTTTCATTAATTGTTATACTTAAAAATATAACATATTGGAAAATTCCTCCCTATTTAGGTATATTAAAGTATGTTGATGTCGAACATTAACATAAGTCAATAGATATTCTGTTCTTCAGGCATGGTATTGACAAGACTCCTCACAACTTCAAGAACTTTTCAGTAAATCCTTACAGAGTAAATGATGTGTTTTTTTTTTTTTTTTTTTTTTTTTGAGGTTTATAATTTTGGTCTTATTTCCAATTCTCCTAAGCACTTTTTCAGTTTTCTAGGAAGTGTTCAAAGTGCATTAATTACTACAGCAATCTGTTCTACATCCATATTTCATAGTTTCTTCAGTTTCCTAGGCAGATCCTGGTATTTTTCTATCTTTTCAGTTTCTTTGGAATCCACTCTTGTATCATATAGAACAGCAAAACCAATCATTTGACAATTTCTATTCTCTTTATCTATAACAATAAAGTTGTCTTTTCAAACTTCAATGACATGATCTGTCTTGACTGAAAAATCTAATATCTTCTCAGTGTCATTTTCTACCTCTGGCTGATGTTCTTACCATTTTTTTTTTTTTTGTTTACATTGAAATAAAACTCACAGCATACTTCCCAATGAATTTTCTAATAAATCCAATCATGTTGCTTATATACCTCTCTGCCAATCATTATTTTCTGAATGTATCATGGTGCTGTTATTGTGTAAATGGCTTGAGTTCAAGAAATTTATTTCAGACAAGCAGTACTCTTCAAAATATGCTTATTTTAAGGCAGAATTTTGTAGCATTCACAAAGCATATTTTATACAAAGTTGGTTGACTTTCTTTAAACTTTAATTGGATAGAACAGAGTGCTCCAATCACTACTGAGATGGCCTTAACATTATTCTCAGCATTTTCCACACTCTGGCTATCTCAACCTTCAGGTCAGAGTAGTTACTGATCATTTCTATTTGCTTTACTGCTACATTTGTAGCCTACAGGTACAGCCACATCAATTATTTATTTTTAACATTTTTTTCTTAAATCTTATTTTGTTGTTTTTTTTTTATTGCAGATAATGCTAAGTTATTTTATGTTGTTAACTGAACAACATAGATTGGAAATAAAAAGTTTCTGGTGAGCTTGGATCATTGGAAGACTGTCATCTAGGAACAACTTTTTATAAAAGTTAACCAATAGGAATCATTGAAATTTAGCCATATAGATATATTATTTCTTATCTGGTTTTATTCCCAAATCATATTTCAT